CGTTTGCAAGTCGGACATTGTCCAAGTCTGAAAGGAACTATTGTGTGACCCGTCGTGAGCTCTTGGCAATCGTTGAGTTTGTTAAGCAACACCGGCATTACCTACAAGGTACAAGATTCTGCATTCGAACTGATCATGCCCCTTCGCGTTTTGTTGTCCAGGCCAAAGATCCCGAGAGACAGCTTGCACGTTGGATTGATTACTTGAGTACTTTCGACTTCGAGATCCAGTATCGACCAGGACAGCGACATCTGCATGCTGATGCACTTTCCCGTAGACCCTGTGGTGTCCGTTTGTAAGTGGTGTAAGGGTTGGAAGTCAAAGGAGCGAGCGTCATTTGTAGATGTGGGTGTTCAGACTGTGATGCATGTCCCTTGCCAGGACAACGAACAACCTATGAATTGTGAAGAACCTGTTGGTGCTCGTTGTGCCACTGTCAAGTTAGAACCAACCTGGACTTCAACTTTCTTGAGGGAACAACAGGAAGCTGACTTTGATCTCAAGGTTATTATTGGCTGGAAGGAAGCCGGCAAAGAAAAACCATTGTGGGAAGATGTGTCGCCTCAGAGTTGTGCTGTGAAGACCTTGTGGTCACAGTGGGACCGGCTGCTCTCCAAAAACCGTGTATTTTGCCGCAAATGGGAAAGTGACGGAGGTGATCAGATTATTGATCAGGTCGTTCTTCCCGAGGGTCTTCGACAGGCTGCCCTTGAAGCTCATCATAGTCATACGACTGCAAGTCATCGTGGTATACGGAAGACCCTAGGCGCCCTTCAATCTCGTTATTACTGGCCAGGACTTACTTCAGCAGTTCACAGATTGTCGCCAGGTGCCATGTCTGTGGGTCTTAGAAAACCTGGGGACGCAAACGTTGTGCTCTGTTAAAGCAGTACGTGGTGGGAGCTCCCATGGAACGAATCGCGATTGACATTCTTGGCCCACTGCCAGAAATCCCGCGAAAGAACAAGTTTATACTCGTGATTAGTGACTATTTCACTAAATGGACTGAGATGTATCCAGTACCCAACCAGGAGGCCACCACTGTTGCAGAGAAGCTTGTGAGCGAGTTTATTTGTCGCTTCGGTGTACCCCGTCAGCTTCATAGCGACCAAGGAACTAACTTTGCGTCAACGGTGTTTGCTGAAGTCTGCAGGCTGTTAGACATTGAGAAGACCCGCACCACTCCACTGCATCCCCAGTCTGACGGACAGGTGGAGCGTTTTAACAGGACCCTCGTTGAAATGTTACGTGGGAAGATCCAGCAAGACCAGACAGACTGGAATCTACGACTTCCAACTTGCATGATGGCCTATCGAGGTGCTGTTCACGAGTCAACCGGGGTTTCGGGGTTTGATGTTGGGTAGGGAACTGGAGGTTCCCCTAGATGTCATAACTGAGAGACCGCCTGATGCATCACCACTCAAGACGGACTATGCACAAGCTGTTCAAAAGAGATTGGTTAGTGTGCATGATTTCGCCAGGCGCCATTTGAACTAGGCAGCTGTACGGCAGAAGCGGAACTACGACAAACGGCTTTCCGGTAGACCATTTGTTATTTGTGATTCTGTTTGGCTACATAACGTTCGGAAGAAGAAGGGGAGAAACGCCAAACTTGACTGTCCTTGGGAAGGACCCTATCTTGTAATATCGGTGCTTATCGGATGTGGTGTACCGTATTCAGAAGAGCCGAAAGGCCAAGCCTAAGGTCGTTCACTCAGACAGATTAAAGCCTTACCTGGGACCCCCACTGGAGAGATGGATTCCGAAAAGGCAGACGCGGTTATCGAGCGCAAGAGAAGAGGGGAGACAGACATCGGTTGTGGATTCAAATTGCGTCGACGATGGACAGTCAGCTCCGGTTAACTCGAGAGAGAGAGAGTTGAGCCCGACAAAACGGAATCTACGAAAGCAGACAAGGATGATGTTTCCCCGAGACTCCAGAATGCTGATTTCCTTGAGGATGATAACGGTGACAAGCCTGAGGATGTGAGGAAACCTGAGCCTCGTGCGAAATGGACAACCTCCGTTGCACATGACCTCAACCAGGCGGGTGTCGGCTGTCAAACAGCTGAGTCGACTGTACAAGGTTTACCTGGGATTGATTCAAGTGTTTGTGGGAGACCGTCAAGGCAGCGAAAGCCACCAAGTCGATTCGGAACTTGGGTGACTGATTAACCTGAAATGTTCAGGGACTGATAAGCATTATAGGACAGTCTAGGCAACTAGACAAGTATAAGTTAATGCCAACCTCGTCCCCAAGGCTTTTCCCTCAAAAAATGGGTGGGGCGGGAAAAGGCCCTGGCATCTGCTGGTCACGTGTACAGCCTAAATATTACTGAGAAGCTAATTTATCTGCAATCCGCTGGTTTTGCGCTGACAGAAGGGAGTAACAATGGAAAGTAGTATAGCCCGCGATAACATCCGTTTCTGCTCGCTCTCCGCCGCTGGGGACGTTTCGCGAAACGATCTCGTGGAAGTAGTGAATCAACTTGTATATGACTATTTGCAATCGATACGACATGCACGACCGGTGAGCGTTTTGCGCCAAGTGTTCCGTGAAGCCACTTAGCATCTAATATTTTTAAGACCCAAAATTTAAAAGGTTATAAGTTAAACAGGATTTCGTTACATTTAGGGGACCCTCGCTCCACCTAAACAAATCTAGTAAGTTCAACAGCAAAGTGTCTCAATCTTACGCAATATCCTGCCATACTGAAACTGTGACCTTCGAGTCGAGAGTTCGTTTCAATTCCAAATGTGAACGAAAGACAGAGAAATATGCGAATTCTAAATGGATTTGAAGAATTTTTTTGTTTGCGCTCTAATCTAAGTAATGATGACATAATTTCTGCCTACAGGTCAGGTCTGAAAACAGGTGTGGATTTTAGAGGTCTGGTCTAAAAACGGGTGTGGAAAATGACATTTTTGGCCCCCACCAAGAATTTCCAGGAGTACCCACCCCGGGGGAGTAAGTTGCTTTCTGTCACACAACATATGTCTAGTGAGTGCCTTTTCCTTTAACTCCATTTTTTTTCGTATGTTTTTTTTTTTTTAAAAAAATCCAACATTTTCCTTTTTAAGGTTCACTATTTAGGTCCCTGTGTAGTCTGCGATCATGCCCTCTCTCTTTATCGCTGTAATCTGTTTTATTTTTTTTCCCTCTCGAACCAAAGAAGAAGAGAAGGAGAAAAAATAAATATGTAAACAGATAACGTCTGATCTCAGGTTAGTCCCTGTGTAACTGTATTCGACAACGTACGTGACAGTCGTGAAGGTCCGTTTTTTCCAGACGAACTGAAGGGGGTCTGTTGACCTCTTTAACATCTGGTCTCGGATCTGGACAAATGTCTCAAATTTTAATTTGCGTTAGCAATCATAAACGTGGTGAAATAGTCACCTTTATTTGAACTTAAAGTAAAATTAAGTAATTAAAATGAAAATTAAGTAGATGTGTCCAAGCTGTGCTGTTGTCTCTTGTGTTGTTCTTAATTCTGAGTTGAGGAGGTTCGGGAATATGACCGTTTATCAACGGGAAGTATTAAATGTTGAAGGTAAATATGTTTCAATTCTTTTAAATAGCCCAGAGTAATCAATCAATAAAAATCGGTTTCGATTTATCAATCGATAAATCGATAAAAATCGGTGAAACTGATTTGATTGATATCGATTGTATCGATCAATCGGTTTAGACATCGGTGACACTCTTGCTTCGTTTATCGATTTATCTAGATTTTACCGCTTCCATCGATTTTTATCGGAAGATGCATCTGTTCTTCTGTTCAACCAAAAATAAAAACTGATTTCATGCAAACAGTGAAGTTGTTGACAATTGACTCAGAGTTGCAATTAAGAGTCGAAGGACCAAACAATTTATTATCCCTTTTTTTAAAAAACCTTACCTTTTCTTTAAAACCGCTTTAAAGTCTTCTTCAGATGGCCGACATTGGCCAGGTTTTTTATTTTTCCCAGTTTTTCACGATTTAGATCTGCCGCCCTTTCAAAATAACCTCAGTTCAACGTGTAGTTACTTCCCGGAGAAGCCAATAGATAAAAATCAAAATCGATAAAAATCGTTAGCGATCAAGTGATTTTATCGATTGTTAACGGAAAACGGTGAAAAGCTATCCAGAGAAATCTTTTAGTCGGAATTTCGGGCATCCCTTCGACTCTAGAGAATATCTGCATGAAATTCAGGCTGGGAAATCTTTTATCTAAACTTGGATTTCTCGTGGTACTTGCCTGCAAGAACTGGGAATAAACTGAACCGTTACTGTTATTATGTACAAAAGGGTCACGGTTTTTAGAGAGAATCTTGTGTCTGTAATAGTTTCCACATTTCTTCTTTTCATGTTTGTTGATCAGTTGTTACTCGTGGATGTGTTTTCTCAGCAAATCATGAAAAATCGATAATATCGAGTTGACACAGCAATTTAGTTTATCGATTTTCACCGATTTCCGTTATCAATCGATAAAAATCACTTGATTGCTATCGATTTTTATCGAGACCTATTTTTATCGATTGACTACTCCGGGTAAATAGAGGAATTTTTTCCCTTCAAATGGGCTTCAGACCAACAAAATTACTCCTGGCATGTTCATATCTCGTAATTTTCAAACAAGGGTGTAAGGGTGTAAGGGCTGTAAGTGGGTAAGGGTGTTAGGGCTGTAAGGGAAGGGCTGTAAGGGTGTAAGGGCTGTAAGGGTTGTAAGGCTGTAAGGGTGTAAGGGTGTTAGGGCTGTAAGGGTGTTAGGGCTGTAAGGGAAAGGCTCTAAGGGTGTAAGTGCTGTAAGGGTTGTAAGGCTGTAAGGGCTGTAAGGGTGTAAGGGCTGTAAGGGCTGTAAGGGTGTAAAGGCTGTAAGGGCGTACGGCTTAAAGGTCTGTATGCCATCCTTTCAACTGCAGCCTCTCCAAATCGCTTAAAAGAGCCAATAGTAAATAGGGAAAACTGTTTTTGGTAGGCCAGATGACAGGTGCCTTATAGGCAACGTAAGCGACTTGCATTTTTGTAGCAAAGCAAGCAGGGAAAAAAAACCAAAACCATAAAAGGTTAAAAAACAACTTGGTTTTTGCACTTAAAAATATATTGCGGTATGGCTGTTGTGCATTTCGCGCAAAATGTCTTGTTAACCCTTCTTGGCTACTAAACCACCTGGCGGAATCAATGTGATGAAGACAATATTAAACAAAAAATGCTGTTGCCATGACAACAGCTATGAGCCTTCAAGAAGTCATGGGCTGCTGCTACAAAGGGCTTACATACGCCATTTTGTCTATTGTCATTGTTGCGTTGATAAAAAGAGAGTAAAGCGTCACATTATACCTCGCATTATAATCTGAAACTGCTGTAAGGGTACAATGGCCCTTACACGAGCCCTTACACCGAAAATCTATTCGTAATTTATGACTGGCCGATTCCTCTAAACTCTTTGCGTGATTTTGGCCATTTATCTGTATATCTTAAGTCTGTTTTACTCTCACCCCAACAACAGTATTTGGTACCAACCATGCCGCTTCCTTTTAGAACGCTAAGTCATTTTTTGACGAAATTTTCCGTCGTTTTGTTTCAATTTTACAGCTCTCGCTCATACATTTCCTTTAAGCTGGTCGCAATGTTTGTCTGAGTCTGTGCGGGGGTCTCATAGGTTATCACGTAACAAAATCTATTTTTAGTGATAGTAGAAAGCGCTATTATATTATTGATCTAATAAAACTTCGCATTAACAAAATCACTGCAGAAACCACAAAGCGGCTCTAAATGAAAAACCTACCGACTCTCCGCAATGATTCTTTATTCGTAGTTCAATTTAGCTATTCAGTTTCGAAGACAAGGGCAATTTAGCCATTAGCTGTTTACGATTAAGATTATCAAAATGTTTGAACTCCACGCAAGCAAGCAAGGAATGGAATCCGCTGAATATCAAGTAGCCTGCGAACAGCAGACGCATTTCCGGTCGTCGCTTCTCTCCCTCCGACGACCGGAAATGCGTCTGCTGTTCGCAGGCTAAATATCAAGCGACTCACACAAGGTTTGCCGTCTTCTTTGCTCTCACCAACCCTTTCCGGAAAAGCTCGATATGGGAACCCCCAACAAAATGTCTCATAATTGAACATACTTAAGGTGGAGGGAGACTGAATGTTTAAGCAATCAACCAATCAAAATTATTACCCGGTTTTCGGGTAATGAGTGACGTCACTGGACGGCATTAACGGCCGGTCGATTCAGACGTTACCGAGGGCGCTTTCCATTAAGATAAAAAATCTGGAAATTTCGGTGGGAACAAAAAAGGATTTTCCGGTAGGTAAAAACTTGTTCCATTTGATCGTAAACGCCGGTACGGCGCCGATCCCGTTACCCGATGGGACACCAAGACGGCTGCCGAGTCGGTAACTAAGCCACGAGAAACGTGTAAATGGAACATGAAATTCCGTTCAGAACGTTCCAACCGGGAAAATGGGCCCAACTTTTTGGATTTTCCACTTTTTCAGAGAATTTTCCAGTGGGACAAAGCCACGAAACGTTTTCCATTTACTGCCGACCCGAAATTTCCGGAATTTCGACTAAACGGAAAGCGCCCTGAGGGAGTAATATCAGGTTCTATTTTCGATTCTACTGTAAATTACCGCGCGATTACATAAGAGAGAATGTACGAGAACTGCTAAAATTAGGCCTGATCAGAGGTTAGACAAAACTGGGCAGTGACTAGGCAAAAGGCATACGCCGACTACATCGCCGTAGTTTGCAATCGTGGTACAAACGAGGAAATGGATAACCTGAATTTCATCAGATTACTTCGAGTCATTACTCCCTCAGTAACGTTGAATCGACCGGACGTTAATGCCGTCCAGTGACGTCACTACTCCTTGACCTTCGCTTTAATTCATGCAAAAAGTGAAACACGATTTTCAAGTGGCAATTTGGAAACGTCTGCATGATACATAGATGATTTATTTTTTTCGATCGCAATTCATGTTTAACGTTCAAACTATCAACTGCATACAGTACAACTCTGTACCGGTTGTACAGAATTCTATAATCAAACTCGGTCGCAATCACGCAATGAAATAAACACACACACGGAACACTTAGTTAAAAAACACAATGATTTGCTTTAATTGAAAAGAAGTCATTTGGTCCTTAACTAAGAAAAAAAACAAGGAGACAAGAAAGAAAAGC